CAGATGGGACCGTCTAGTTGCAGGAAAACTCACCCACTGATTCTATGTTATGGTGACTTGTATAATTATTTCATTATATATTACATTGTAATAAGAATAGAAATAAAGTGCACAATAAACACAATGTACTTGAATCTTCCCCGAAATTATCCACCCAACAGTCGGTGGAAAAATTGTCTTCCAATGAAACTGGTTCCTGGTGCCAAAAAGGTTGAGGACTGCTGATACAAGGAAATATATTCCTAGAGTTTGCATTTGGGATACATGAAGAAAGTATATATGCCTTTTTTAAAAAACAGCTTTATTGAGATATCATTCATGCACTATGTAATTCACTCATTTAACGTGTAGAAGTCAATGATTTTTACTATATTGGCAAAATTGTACAACCAGTTTAAGAATATTTTTATCACCCCCCAAAAAACGCTACTCATTAGCAGTCACTCTCCATTACCCACCCTCCTCCCCACTAAAAGTGATCTCTTATGACTGGCTTCTTTCACTTAGCAAAATGTTTTCAAGTTTCATCCGTATTGTAGAATTTATCAGTGCTTTATTCCTTTTTTTTTTGTTTTTTTGAGACAGGGTCTCACTCTGTCACCTAGGCTGGAGTGCAGTGGTGTAATCATGGCTCACTACAGCCTCGACCTCCCTGGCTCAAGCAATCCTTCCACCTCAGCCTCCCAAGTAGCTAGGACTATAAGGCTGTGCCACCGCACCCAACTAATTTATATATTTTTAGTAGAGGTGGGTTTTTGCCATGTTGCCCAGGCTGGTCTGGAACTCCTGGGCTCAAGCAATCCTCCCACCTCGGCCTCCCAGCCAGCTGGATTACAGGCGTGAGCCACCACACCCAGCTTGATGGATATTAGCTTATACTTTCTGGCTATGATGTATAATATTACTATGAAAATTCATGCAGAGGTTTTTGTGTGGATGTTTTCGTTTCTTTTAAGTATACACCTATGAGTAAAATTGCTGGGTCATATGATAACTTCATGTTTAACATTTTGAGGAGCTGTCAAACTGTTTTGCAAAGTGGCTACACTACTTTACATTCCCACCAGCAGTGTATGAGGGTTCCAATTCCTCTGCATACTCACCAACACTTGCTATTGTCTATCTTTTTTATTATAACCATCCTAGTGGGTTCAAAGTGATATTTCATTGTGATTTGATTTTGACTTGCGTTTACCTATGGCTAACAATATTAAGAATCTTTCAATGTATGTATTTGCCATTTGTATATCTTCTTTGGAGAAATGTCAGGTCAAAATCTTTGCCCATTTTTCAGTTAGGTTATTTGTGAGGTTGTAAGGGTTTTGTTTTGTTTTTTGTTTTTTGAGACAAAGATTTTTGCTCTGTCACCCAGGCTGGAGTGCAGTGGCGCAATATTGGCTCACTGCAACCTCCGCCTCCTGGGTTCAAGTGATTCTCCTGCCTCAGCCTTCCGAGTAGCTGGGATTAGAGGCATGCACCACCACGCCTGGCTCATTTTTGTATTTTCAGTAGAGATGGAGTTTCGTCATGTTAGCCAGGCTGCTCTCGAACTCCTGACCTCAGGTGATCCACCTGCCTTGGCCTCCTAAAGTGCTGGGATTACAGGCATGAGCCACCGTGCCTGGCCAAGAGTTCTGTACATCTTACCAATACAAGTTCTTTATTAGATTCAGTGGATTTTCATTATTCGCAATGTTTTTATTCTATAAGGTCACCACCAAGGCTGAACCACTGCTTCCAGGGGAAATATGTACATGTATGTAGATATCGCATGTAGACTATAATCTTAAAATCTTAAAACAACTCATCCTAGTAGCTTTTATTTTATGCAAGACAAAAGGAGGTTCAATTTTATTTTATGGTTTTATTTTATGAAAGACAAAAGGCCTGTGGCCACCCCACTAGCTAATACCCCCAGAGCTGAGATTCATACCCCATCCAACTCTTCCCAGAACCAGAGCCTCTTGAAGTACACTGCAGTGTAAGTTAATTTTTGTGTGTAGTATAAGGAAGAGGCCCAATTGCATTATTTTCCATGTGGAAATCCAGTTGTTCAGCACCGTTTGTTGAAAGGACTATTTTTCCTCTATTGAACTGCTTTAGCACTTCTCTAGAAAACCAATTGATCAAAATGTAAGGGTTCATTTTTGGACTCGTGATTCAGTTCCATTGATCTGTATTTCCATTCCCACCCTATCTTAATTAATTTAGCCTTGTATTAAGTTTTGAAACTGAAAAGTGCCAGTATTCCAACTTTGTTCTTTATACACCTTTTGAGTATTTTTACATACCTTTAAATTATAAGACAATGAGGTTATTGGACTGATCAGAGAACTTCAATATATAATAAAGTAAAATATATAAGATATAAATGGTACGGCCTTAGAGTCAAATGAAAATGCTGGTTTATTTATTTTTTCTTTATTTCTTGAGATGGAGTCTTGCTCTGTTGCCCAGGCTGGAGTACAGTAGTGTGATCTCAGCTCACTGCAACCTCTGCCTCCCAGGTTCAAGCAATTCTCCTGCCTCAGCCTTCCAAGTAGCTGGGATTAAGGGCGGCCCGCAACCATGCCCTTCTAATTTTTTGTATCTTTAGTAGAGACAGGGTTTTACCATGTTGGCCAGGCTGGTCTTGAACTCCTGATCTCAGGCGATCCACCCGCCTCAGGCGATCCACCCGCCAAAGTGTTGGGATTACAGGTGTGAGCCACCACCCCTGGCCGAAAATGCCTGTTTCTAATGTCTTTTTCTCATTGCAATCTTCTGCACAGTTGGGCTCATTCAATCAGTTTTGTTGCTGCGAAAACAGGTATCATAAAATAATGATTGTGACTTAATGATTTTCCTGAATCTCTAGCATTTAGACGATTTAACGTTTTGCCTTTGGTTTTGTGTTTCCTGTCTGTTTAGGTAGGTGGAGAGTTTTCAAACACTGTTATCGACCAGATGAAGAAATTTGGAAGGATTGCCATATGTGGAGCCATCTCTACATATAACAGAACCGGCCCACTTCCCCCAGGTAATGAGCACATGCACACGATCCCACATGTCACAAGGCTGGACAAGGAGAAAATTCACAGATATGCCATAGGCCAGTGACTCTGAAATTATTAGAAAGATTTTCATATAGTATTTTTTCTTTTAAGATAGAGTCTCACTTTGAGAGAGCTCAGGAGTTTGAGAGCATCCTGGGCAACATGGCAAAACGCCATCTCTCAAAAAAATACAAAAATAAGCTGGGTGTGGTGGTGTGCACCTGTAGTCCCAGCTACTCAAGAGGCTGAAGTGGCAGATTGCTTGAGCCTGGGAGGCTGAGGCTGCAATGAGCTGTGTTCGTGCCACTGCACTGCAGCCTAGGTGACAAAGTGATAGCCTGTCTCAAAATAATAATAATAACAACAACAATTTCATGTATTTTGGGCTAAATCAGCTTGTATCAGATTTTTATATAGAGAAATAGCAGGATCTACAAATATAGAAGAAACAGTTATTAAAAGTTTTAGTTTTTACCTATCATTTAATGCAAAGTTGTAAAAAGACAGTGATGATTTGATTTAGAAACAGAACACCTTGATCTGGCTGGGAAAATATTCAGGGTCCTCTGGATATGAGAGACATTGCTGGAGGTGCGAGAGGAATAAAGGGTGACTTGCTGTGGGTGAAGGGAAGGGCAGGCTGCCATGTCCTTCAGAAATCTTGGGCAGTGCTTCTTGGAGCAGTAGGGCACCTTGGCCTCAGCAGGCTGACAATTACCACTAAACAGGAAGGCAGCAGCAGCTTCCCTCCATTCCTCGAGTGTCCTTGTTTTATTTCTCTGGTGCCCTCCCATGAACTGCATTCCCCACTCCCTACTCTCTTATGCTGAAACCACTCCCCTCCCACTCCACACTCTGAGGTCCAAACACGGTATCAACCAGAGAACCATATTCGTTAAATCCCTGTCCTGTGAGATGCCTTGTACAGGCCTCTCGTTTTACAGGTGGGGAGATGAATGGCCGAGAGGACCAGAGACTCTTTAACTCCTATTGGCAACAGACTCAAAACAAAGACCAGTCTTCTAAGCGCCTCATTTAGAGTCTGTTTCTGCTACAGTGATCTTGTGCTATTAAGAGAGATCACAAATTACCTGTGATCCCCCCAAAAAAGGAGAAAGAAGGAAGAAAGGAATGTTCCAGACTCTAATGAGGATCCAGGCAACCATAAATCAATTGGTTATTTATTCTATGACGAGCTTGACTAATGGGAATGAAACCTTATGGCCCCGCTAGTTAACCGCCCCACAACCGTATGGAGATGGGGGCTACAAAGGAAGGGGCTGACAAAGGGCAACTTGTGGACTCCCTCTTAGGTTGTGAAAAATCAAAACCATTACCAGAAGGAAACTCCAGATTTACTTGGCAATCTTACTGTTAGGGACCTTTTTCCCCCTGTAATTTTCTAACTGGTGCTAAGCTGGAATCATGGGAAACTCTCTGCCTGCCAACTGAGCAAAGCTGCAGGAGGCCTTTTCTTAACCACAGTCCAATTAGGAAGAGCCAGCTGTTTTGGATACAGTAACTCGACCTAGTCTTTTTAGCAATTAGTCTTTGGAAGCTCAGCTGCTCAGATAGCACTTTGAGACGTCAGCTGGCCTTGTCCATTCCATTTTAATCAGATGGAATTCTACCCTGCCACAGTTCCCGAAATTCCTAACCACTATTCCAGTGCTTAGGGGATAGCCTGGAGCAGGGCAAGCAGCATCGACCTTCCTCTGGTCGTCTACAATGGCCACATTGCTTTTATTTCCGACTCTTCAGTAACAAAACCAAAACACCGACCATTCTTATCAACCACTGCACCAAACCCAGAAACGATTTTTTTCACTTCCATTTTTTTGCTTTTTTGTCTTGTTGGTTTCTTTTGAGACCAGTTTTCCATCTGTTCCAACTGGACCCTATTTTTTTTTTTCTTTTGAACAGGCGTCTCACTTTGTGTTACCCAGGCTGGCGTGCAGTGGTGCAAACATGACTCTCACGGCAGCTCCACCTTCCCGGGCTCAAGTGATCCTCCACCTCGGCCTCCCAAGTTAGGCTTAGACTACAGACATGTGGCCACCATACCTGGATAATTGTGTGTTTGTTTTGTTTCTGAGACAGCAGTCTCGCTCTGTCGTCACAGAGCTGGAGTGCAATGCCGAATCTTGGCGTCACTGCAACCTTCCGCCTCCCGGGTTCAAAGCGATTCTCCTGGCCTTACACCTCCCGAGTAGTGTGGTCTACAGGCACACACCACCATGCCTGACTAATTTTCTTGTATATTTTTAGTAGAGACGGGGTTTTACTGTGTTAGCCAGGATAGTCTTTATCTCCTGACCTAGTGATCCACACCCTTAGGTCTCCCTAAGTGCTGGGATTACAGGCGTGAGCCACCGCGCCAGGCCAATTATTTTTTTTTAGAAGCGATGAGGTCTTTCTGTGTTGCCCAAGCTGGTCTTGAACACCTGAGCTCAAGTGATCCTCCCACTTTGCCTCCCAAAGTGCTGGTATTAGAGGAGCTATGCAGCCCATTTTCATTTAAGATGAGGAAGTGAGAGTTCCAATCGCTCACTCACAAAGAAGAGTTGATGTGGGTCTTCTGAAGAAACACTCTTTCTGTCTCATTCTCTTGCATTAGTTTCTTTTGGTTCAGGACAAAGCTTCATATTTCCAACTGCTAATGTTACTTTCCTCAAAGTAGTGAGTGGGAACTTTAGGCTGAGTGGTGCCAGTGGTCAAAGATGCTGAAGCTAGATTCCACCACTCATCTTAGCACCGCTGGCTCTGATATTCCCTAGGCATCTTCGCCTGACTTCCTGAACTTGAAAGCCTATGCTCAGGTGACATTTTCTCAGTTTCTAGTCAATTAGGACACTTGGGAAAATCAACCAGGCAACCAAAAAACATTTTCTTCCTCACACACAGAAGGGGAGTACCTTCTTCACAGGCAGCAGGAGAGCTGTGTGCTTTGTCTGGGGTGCTGGTTCTCAAAGTGTGGGCCAAGGACCAGCAGCATCACCATCTCCTGGGAGTTTGTTAGAAATACCAATTCTTAGCCAGCACAGGGGCTCATGCCTGTAATCCCAATACTTTGGGAGGCCGAGGCAGGAGGATCACTTGGCTCAGGAGTTTCAAACTAGGGCAATAGAGTGAGACCTCATCTCTGACAAAAAATAAAATAAAATTAGCCAGGTGTGGTGGCATGCACCTGTAGTCCTAGCTACTTGGGGGGTGGAGGTGGGGAAGATCCCTTGAACCAGGAGGTCAGGGTTGCATTGAGCAGTGATGGCACCACTTTACTCCAGCCTGTGGAAACAGAGCCAGACCCTGTCTCAAATTAAAAACAACAAAAACAACAATAAACACACACAAAAAAACCCACATGTTTATTCTTTTGTTTGTTTTCTTTTTTCTTTTTCCTTTTGAAACTGAGTCTTGCTCTGTCACCCAGGCTGGAGTGCAGTGGTGCAATCTTAGCTCACTGCAATCCCCTCCCAGCTTCAAGCAATTCTCCTGCCTCAGCCTCCTGAGTCGCTGGGATTACAGGCATGCGCCACCATGCCCAGCTAATTTTTGTATTTTAGTAGAGACACAGTTTCACCATGTTGGCCAGGCTGGTCTCAAACTCCTGACCTCAAGTGATCTGCCTGCCTTGGCCTCCCAAAAAGCTGGATTATAGGCATGAGCCATGCACCTGACCCCACACACTTATTCTTAGAGGTCTGGAGGTTAAAAGTAAAGTGGGTTGGCAGGGCTGCATTCCTTTTGAATACACTAGAGGAGAATCTGTTTCCTTGCCTTTTCAAGCTTCTAGCAGCTGCCTGTATTTCTTGGCATGTGGCCCCTTCCTCTGTCTTCAAAGCCAGTGGCATAGGATCTTCCTTCTCCTCCTCTCTCTCATCTCTGCTTCTATCACCCTATATTCCGTTCCTGACTATAACTTTCCTGTGTCCCTCATTCCCTTATGAAGACCTTTGCTATTATATTGGGTCCATCTTTATAGTGCAGAATAATCTTCTAATCTCAAGGTTCTTTTTTTATTTTTATTTTTCGGAGGCAGAGTCTCATTCGGTCACAGAGCCTAGAGTGCAGTGGCACAATCTTGGTTCACTGCAACCTCCACCTGTCAGGTTCAAGCAGTTCTCCTGCCTCCTCCCAAGTAGCTGGGACTATAGGCACCCACCACCATGCCCAGCTAATTTTTTTTTTTTTTTGTATTTTTAGTAGAGACGGGGGTTTCACTATGTTGGCCAAGCTGGTCTCGAACTCCTGACCTTGTGATCTGATCGTCTTGGCCTCCTAAAGTGCTGGGATTACAGGCGTGAGCCACCGCATCCCCACTAAGTTTCTTAATCATATCTGCAAAGTCCTTTTTGCCACGTAAGGTAACAGGTTCTGGGGTTTTTGGATATGAACATCTTTGGGGCCATTATTCTGCCTGTTACAGGGTGCATGTTGATGGGCCAGCAGTCGTGTGAATCAGAAAGGAGTGAGGAAATGGAAGGGGAGAAGCACCAAGAAACTTAAAGCACCAAGCGCAGTGACAGTGACCTGTACTACTTGTTTCACCGTGGCCACCTCCCTGGATCCTGCCGCCCAAATGTGCCCTTCTCTTCACAGGTCCAAACCCAGAGACTATTATCCGTCAGGAGCTTCACACACAAGGCTTCGCCGTCTACCGCTGGCAAGGAGATGTCCGCCAAAAAGCTCTGAAGGACTTGCTGAAATGGGTCTCAGAGGTAAGGAGCTCCGGAGCCACCCCTTCCAATTATACACTAGGTCCCATTCCCTTTTGCCTCTCAAGGCTTTTGTTCCAGCAATTCTTCCCTCTCTCTGCCACATCATCAGTTTTTCCCTATTGGGTCCTTGTACTTAGAATATAAATATTCTTACTTTTCCCATCTTTGAAAGGAAAACAAAACAACCCTCTCTAAAGTTCATTTCCACTGCAAATGCAGGTCCATTTCCCTTCTCTCTCTTTTGTAACAAAATACCCGGAAGTGCTGTCTACACTCACTGTCTGCCGTTCCTCTCTTTCCATTCTTCCTGAAACCCACATATCAGGCTTTTCAGAGTCTCACTCTGTTGCCCAGGCTGGAGTACAGTGGCGCAATCTCGGCTCACTGCAACCTCTACCTCCAGGATTCCAGCAATTCTCATGCCTCAGCCTCCCGAGTAGCTGGGACTACAGGTGTGTACCACCACGCCCAGCTAACTTTTTGTATTTTTAGTAGAGACAGGTTTTCGTCATGTTGGCCAGGCTGGTCTCAAGTGATGCGCCCTCCTCAGCCTACCAAAGTGCTGGGATTACAGATGTGAGCCACCACACCTGGCCAAAATTAACTTTTGTCAAGGTCACAGGGGACCCTTACATAGTGAAGTCCACTGGTTGATTCTTAGCCTCACTTGGCTATGGGAAATATTTAACAGTGATCATTCTCTCCTTGATATGCTTTCTTCCCTTGGCATCCCTTAACTCTTGGTTTTCCTCACTGATTGGTCCTCCTCAGACTCCTGCTCGCTTTTCTTTTCTCCAAATTAATATTAGAGTGCCCCAGGTCATAGTCATTGGGCCTTTTCTCTTGTCTATCCACACTCGAGCTGTCCCTTAGTTAGCTCATCTGGGCTCAGTATGCTGGGAGCTCCCAGCTCTATCTCCAGCCTGGCTCTCCTCTTAACTCTAGATTAGTATGTCCACCTGGATGCCTGATACACATCTCTGACGTAACATCTTGTAAACTAAATATGTTTTGATCTTTCCTGCTCAACATGCTCCATATTCAGACTTTACTATCTCAGTTATAACAATTCTATACTTCTAATTTCTCAATCCAAAAACCTTGGAGTCATCTTTGATGTCTTTCTCTCGTACCCATGTCTAATCTCTAAGGAGATTCTGGTGGTTCTATCTTCAAAATATATACAGAATCTGAACACTTCTCCCACCTCCCTGCTACCACCCTGGTCCAGGCCCATGCTGTCTAGCCTGGATGTTTGTAGTGTGTTCGGGGAACTTGCCCCCAATATTTCAACATAGGTTCTTTCTATTTTTCATAAGTGTCGGCCAGCTGAGAATTAAAGAGAAAGAGTACAAAGAGAGGAATTTTACAACTGGGCCGCTGGGACAAAGAGAGGAATTTTACAGCTGGGCCACTAGGGGTGACATCACTTATGGGTAGGACTGTGATGCCCACCTGAGCTGCAAAACCAGCAAGTTTTTATTAAGGATTTTAAAAGGGGAGGGGGTGTACGAACAGGGAGTAGGTCACAAAGATCATATGCTTCAAAGGGCAAAAGGCAGAAGAAAGATCACATGCTTCTGAGGAAACAGGACAAGGACAAAATCAGAACTACTGATAAGGGTCTATGTTCAGCTGTGCACGTGTTGTCTTGATATCATCTTAAACAACAGAAAACAGGGTTCAACAGCAGAGAACCGGTCTGACCACAAATTTACCAGGGTGGATTTTTTTCCCCACCCTAATAAGCCTGAGAGTACTGCAGGAGACCAGGCTATATTTCAGTCCTTCTCTCAACTGCATAAGACAGACACTCCCAGAGCAGCCGTTTATAGACCTCCCCCAAGTAATGCATTCCTTCCCCAGGGTATTAATTATTAATATTCCTTACTAGGAAAACAATTTAGCGATATCTTCCCTACTTGCACGTCCGTTTATAGGCTCTCTGCAAGAACAAAAGTATGGCTCTCTTTTGCCCAACCCCACAGGCAGTCAGACCTCATGGTTGTCTTCCCTTGTTCCCTGAAAATCACTGTTACTCTGTTCTTTTTCAAGGTGCACTGGTTTCATATTGTTCAAACACACATGTTTTACAATCAATTTCTACAGTTAATACAATTATCACAGTGGTCCTGAGGTGATGTACATTCTCAGCTTACAAAGATAACAGGATTAAGAGATTAAATTGAGACAGGCATAAGAAATTATAAAAGTATTAATTTGGGAACTGATAAATGTCCATATTAAAATGAAATGTTTACAATTTATGTTCCTCTGCCATGGCTCCAGTCGGATCCTCCGTTTGGGATCCCTGACTTCCCACAGCAGTAGTGGACTCTACCTGGCCTCCCATATTCGCACCCCTATAGACAATTCCCAATGTGATGGCCATAGTGATCTGTTAAGGCACAAATCAAATCCTGCCGTTCTTATGATCCAAACCATGCAAAGCTCTGCATTTCACTTAGCGTAAACCAAAGTGCGAATATTCAGCAAGCTTACACAAAATCTGACCCCTGATATCTCTCTGATTTCACTTCTTAGTATTCACCGTCTTGTTTACATCTCCTAGTCTCCTCCACCACTCCACCGCTCTGTAACTGCTTGCTGAATTCTCTCACATCCTGCAAGTCTTTGCTAAAAAGTACCTTCTGGACCAGCATGGTGGCTCACACCTGTAATCCCAGCACTTTGGGAGGCAGAGGCAGGCAGATTACAAGGTCAAGAGATCGAGACCATCCTGACCAACATGGTGAAACCCCATCTCTACTGAAAATACACAAATTAGCTGGGCATGGTGGCATACGCCTATAGTCCCAGTTACTTGGGAGGCTGAGGCAGGAGAATCGCTTGAGCCTGGGACATGGAGGTTGCGGTGAGTCGAGATTGTGCCACTGCACTCCAGCCCAGTGACAGAGCTCAACTCTGTCTCAAAAAAAAAAAAAAAAAAAAAAAAAGTACCTTCTGGGTGAGGCAACTTTTTAAATTGCCCTATTATAAGTTGCATTCCCACTTCATTCTTGATCCTCCATATCCCACAGCCCCCTGCTTTTTTTTTTTTTTTTTTTTTTTTTTTTTGAGACAGGGTCTCACGAAAACACCCAGACTGGAGTGCAGTGGCACAACCATGGCTCACTGCAGCCTTCACCCAGGCTCAGGTGATTCTCCCACCTCAACCTCCTGAGTAGCTGGGACAACAGTCATGTGCCACCACACCCGGCTAATTTTTTTGTATTTTTCATAGAGATGGGCTTTCACCATGTTGCCCAGGCTGCCTATCCTACTTTTATCCGTAGCAATTAATCATCTTTTACATAATATATACTATAATTCACTTATTCATTTATATTTATTGCCCATCTCCCTTCTTGGGGATGTAACCTCCATGAAGGCAGCACGTTCACACATTTTGCTTTCTGGTGTATCTCCAGCGCCCAGAAGAGTAGATGAAGCGATGTAGGCACTGGATAAATATTGCTGAATAAATGAATGTTAGAGGGGTGCATACATGTGACACGGCTCTTCCTAAGGAGCAAAAAAGATAATCCCTTAGCCCTGTGCTGTGATAATTTTCAAACCTTACACCATGTAAAGTTTTAGTCAACAGATAATAATAATAATAATAAAAGTGCTATGATAATTTTCAAACCTTACACCATGTAAAGTTTTAGTCAACAGAAATCTGAACAATCAAGTTGCATTATTTTAGTTTTACAGGGGAAAAATGATACCGTACTTCCTAATCCCTGGCCAATGATCATTTCCCAATTCAAAGGAATAGATTGCTCCTCCGGCAGCCACTGGAGCTTGGCGCTCTTCCCAGTCCAGCACTTGGAGTGCCGGGCTGGGCTCTCTCCAGGGAGCTGGAAAGAGCTGAATAAGTTGTCCCGGTTGGTGAAATCTAATGGAGCCCATCCGTGATCACAGTTGACAACAGGAAACCACTGTGCTGGTGTCCCCAATGCTTCCGTCTAACAAAGTTAAGCTGATCATAGTTAGTTGTGTTTTTTTGGGTTTTTAAATTTTTTTTGTTGAGACAGAATCTCATTCTGTCACCCCAGGCTGGAGTGCAGTGGCGCGATCTTGGCTCACTGCAACCTCTACTTCCTGGGTTCGAGTGATTCTCCCACCTCAGCCTCTCGAGTAACTGGGATTACAGGCGCCTGCCACCACTCCTGGCTAACTTTTTGTAGGTTTAGTAGAGACGGGGTTTCACCACATTGGCCAGGCTCATCTTGAACTCCTGACCTCAAGTGATTCTCCTGCCTCGGCCTCCCAAAGTGCTGGAATTACACGTGTGAGCCACGGCGCCCGGCCCTAGTTGGGTTTTAAGTTGTGAGTTGGCCTAATTTCTTTCTCATCCTCCCTTTTTAATCTCATTCCCTATTTTTTAAAATTCACTTTTTATTTTAGAAAAGTTTTAGGCTGGGTGTGGTGGCTCATACCTATAATCCCAGCACTTTGGGAGGGTGAGGAAGGAGGATTGCTTGAGCCCAGGAGTCCGAGACCAGCCCTGGCAACATAATGAGACGCTACAAAAAAGCAAAAAGTAAAAAAATCAGCTGGGTGCAGTGGTGCACACCTGTAGTCCCAGCTACTCGGGAGGCTGAGGTGGGAGGATCACCAGAGTCCAAGAGTTCTAGGGCTACAGTGAACTCTGAATGCGCCACTGTCCTCCAGCCTTGTAAATAGAGCAAGACCCTGTCTCAAAAACAAAAATAAAAATGAAGTGTTAGATTTATAGGAAAATTGGGAAGATAGTACAGAGAGCTCCCGTATACCCTGCATCCTACACCCTAATTTCCCCTATTATCAACATTTTCCATTAGTATTTGTATTAGTTTGCTAGGTCTGCCAAAATAAAGCACCACAGACTGGGTGGCTTACAGAACAAATTTATTTTCTCAGTTCTGGAGGCTAGAAGTCCAAGATCAAGGTGTCAGCAGGGTTTTTTCTTAGGAGGCCTCTCTCTTTTCAACTTGTAGATGGCTTCCTTTTCCCCGCATCTTCACATGGACTTCTCTCTGTGTGTCTGTGTCCTAACCTCCTTATGAGCACACCTGTCATATTGATTAAGGCCCACCTGTATGATGTCATTTTACCTTAATTACCTTTTTTTTTTCTTGAGATGGAGTTTCGCTCTTGTTGCCCAGGCTGGGGTGCCATGGTGCGATCTCCATTCACTGCAACCTCCGCCTCCCAGGTTCAAGCGATTTTCCTGCCTCAGCCTCCTGACTAGCTGGGATTACAGGCACACGACACAACGCCTGGCTGATTTTCGCATTTTTAGTACAGACGGGGTTTCGCCATGTTGGCCAGGCTGGTCTTGAACTCCTGAGCTCAGGTGATCCACCTGCCTCAGCCTCCCGAAGTGCTGGGATTACAGTTGTGAGCCACTGTGGCCAGCCTGTTAATTACCTTTTCTTAAAGCCCTATCTCCAAATACAGTCCGATTGTCAGGCACTGGTGATTAGGACTTAAACGTATGGATTTGGATTGGGGGCAAACAATTCAGTCCATAACAGTATTTGTTCTCTATTTTTAACCTCTGAACTGGATTCTACCTTTCCACGCTATCCAGATTCTTTTCTTCTTCAAGAACAAGAATGAGTTGGGGCTCTCAAGTCAAAAGTTCCAATCTCAGCCACGAGCCATGGCTCACGCCTGTAATCCTAGCACTTTGGGAGGCTGAGGTGGGTGGATCACTTGAGCCTAGGCGTTTGATACCAACCTGGGTGAACCTAGCAAGACCCCGTCTCTACGAAAACTAAAAAAGTTAGCTGGGCATGGTGGCACATCCCTGTAGTCCCACCTACTCAGGAGGCTGAGGCAGAAGGATCACTGGAGCCCAGGTGGTTGAGACTGCAGTGAGCTATGATTGTGCCACTGCACTCAAACCTGGGTGACAGAGTGAGACCCTGTCTCACAATAATAATAATAATAATAATAATAAAAGTTTAAATCTCAGTTTCCCTACTTTGTAATTGACTGGCTTCAAGCAAATAATCTTGTCTATAAATCCATACAGAGTGCTAAGCCATCACTGGAATGCATTAGGGAAAAACTTGTATCAGGTAACTCAGGTCTCTATATAAGACCCCTTCAAAAAATCTGAAAATGGAAATTAGTTCCCATTAGTAGGCTGTGCCTTGTAGTAGAAAGAGAAATGAAGAACCTTCCTCACTAACATGAACCCTTCCTTCCCACACTCCCAGAAAAAGGTTAAACACATGTTGAAAGAACCTTGTCTTAATGTGGAGACAGATTTTTAGACTGTCCTGCTATTTATATTTCCTAAATAGGACCTGCTTCTTCAAGGGCCAGAGGTAAATGAAAGGTACTCCTTTCTCTATTTCCACCTTCTCTGAGATCACTGGGTTATCATTCTTTACTATGCATCTTACTTAGAAATTGCTTAATTGTGTGGGCATGGTGGCTTACGCCTGTAATCCCAGCACTTTGGGAGGTGAAGGCAGGCGGATCACGAGGTCAGGAGATCGAGAGGTCTGGAGATCGAGACCATCCTGGCTAACACAGTGAAGCCCCGTCTCTACTAAAAGTACAAAACAATTAGCTGGGCATGGTGGCAAGCACCTATAGTCCCAGCTACTTGGGAGGCTGAGGCAGCTGAGTGGTGTGAACCCGGGAGGCGGAGCTTGCAGTGAGCCAAGATCGCGGCCCTGCACCCCAATCTGGGCGACAGAGCGAGACTCCGTCTCAAAAAAAAAAAAAAAAAAAAAGACAAAGAAATTGCTTAATCGCTGCCTTATGACACTTCACATTATGATCTGACATCTATTATTAAGTTCTTCTTAGGTGTACTTTGTAATCTTTTACATGTACTGTGTAAGTGGATCTTGCCCCCCCTTGACTTCAGGTTCATGGAGGACAGGACCTCCATCTCTTATTTTCAAGGTTTCCAATGATGTACCTGATACATTTGTTGCTAGGATGAGAACAGTATATCATTGAGAATATTAACTTAAGTTTTGAAATTTGTTATTGCTTTGATACAGGGTAAAATCCAGGACAAGGAATATATCATCGAAGGATTTGAAAACATGCCAGCTGCATTTATGGGAATGCTGAAAGGAGATAATTTGGGGAAAACAATAGTGAAAGTATGAAAAAAAGGATACATGGAATCTGGAGGCCATTTAGATTATTACTTAATTTGTTTTCACCATTTAGCAAAAATGTATACTACCCTAAATGTCTATGAAACAGTACTTGTAGTGAGTTTGATCTACTTAATAAAATACATTTAAGTGGTATGTAATTAGTGATGGAGGATGGAAGTTTCACCGTCAACAACAACCAGTGACCTCACTGTTCACTACAGCTTCTTCTGAGTTGTGGTAGAAACTAATGGCTTTGAAGTGTGAAAGTTTTCCAAACACTGCATGTTTTCATTCATAAGTGGGAGCTGAACGATGAGAACACATGGACACAGGGAGGGGAACAACACACATCTGGGCCTGTGGAAGCGTGGGAGGCGGGGGGAGAGCATCAGGATAAATAGCTAATGCATGCGGGTGTTAATACCTAGGTGACGGGTTGATAGGTGCAGGAAACCACCATGGCACACGTTTACCTATGTAACAAGCCTGCACGTCCCACACAATTATCCCGGAACTTAAAATAAAATAAAATTAAATTTAGGCCGGGCGCGGTGGCTCAAGCCTGTAATCCCAGCACTTTGGGAGGCCGAGACGGGCAGATCACGAGGTCAGGAGATCGAAACCATCCTGGCTAACATGGTGAAACCCCGTCTCTACTAAAAAATACAAAAAACTAGCCGGGCGAGGTGGTGGGCACCTGTTGCACCTGTAGTCCCAGCTACTCGGGAGGCTGAGGCAGGAGAATGGCGTAAACCCAGGAGGAGGAGCTTGCAGTGAGCTGAGATACCGCCACTGCACTCCAGCCTGGGTGATAGAGCAAGACTCCATCTCAAAATAAAAAATAAAATAAAATAAAATAAAAAAAGTTAGCCAGGCATGGTGGCTCATGCCTGTAATTCCAGCACTTTGGGAGGATGAGGTGGACAGATCTCGAGGTCAGGAGTTCAAGACCAGCCTGACCAACATGGTGAAACACCATCTCTACTAAAAATACAAAAATTAGCTGGGCGTGGTGACACACTCCTATAATCCCAGCCTCTTGGGAGGCTGAGGCAGGAGACACACTTGAACCTGGGAGGCGGAAGTTGCAGTGAGCCAAGATTGCACCACTCTCCTGCAGCCTGGGCGACAGAGTGAGACTCCATCTTAAAAGAAAAAAAAAAGTTTACTACTTCTGTGACCTTAGACTTCTGATTTTCCATCTTTAAAGTGAGGATAATAACATCTGTTTCATATACATGTTATACATTTATTTAAAACACCAGCATAGGTGGGCTCAGTGGCTCACGCCTGTAATCCCACCACTTTTGGAGGTGGAGGCTGGTGAATCACCAAAGGTCAGGAGTTCAAGACCAGCCTGGCCAACATGGCGAGACCCTATCTCTACTAAAAATACAAAAATTAGCTGGGCATGCTAACGGGTGCTTGTAATCCCAGCTACTCAGGAGGCTGAGGCAGGAGAATTGCTTGAACCCAGGAGGCGGAGGTTGTGGTGTGCCGATATCATGCCTATTGCACTCCAGCCTGGGCAACAAGAGCAAAACACTGTCTCAGAAAAAAACAAAACTAAACTAAACTAAAAACACCAGCATAATGCCTGGCATGTATTAGGAAAGTGTTAGCTACCTCCCTGTCTATGTCAGTGATTTTGAAGTCTTAAGATTACCACGCTATTGCTTGTGATTATACCAGAAGAAATAATCATTGCAGGTGTACAGGGGTTGTAGGGCCAGTCCATACTGGTCCTCTACAGATGAGTCTAATTATATAACAAATCAAAGAAGGAATCTGTCATTCACGAGAGCTGCACAAAAGATAACACATGGGAATGTCTATACATCTACAAAAATGTGCACGATTTATATGAAGACAAATTTAAAACATTACTGATAATAAAGGGACATTTAGTGAAGTTCTCCGATGATCCTCATAACTACATAAATGTCCTGCAAGGATTGGGGCAGTCCTTTAATCTAATGTGGAGAGATATCATTTTACCTCTTGATCAGACCTTAAGTCCTACTGATAAGGAAGCAGCTTTAGCAGCAGCCTGGCAATTTAGGAATCTGTGGTACCTGAGCCAGGTAAACGGTCCAAAAGCCCTGGAGGAGAGGGAAAAATTCCCCACAGGGCAACAGGCGGTCCCCACTGTAGACCCTCACTGGGATACTGACTCAGATCGTGGAGATTAGAGCCACAGGTATTTGCTAACTTGCATGTTAGAAGGGTTGAAGGAGACGAGGAAAAAGCCTATGAACTACTCAATGCTATCCACAATTATGCAAGGAAAACAGGAAAACCCCTCTGCTTTTCTAGAAAGGCTAATGGAGGCCCTAAGAAAGCACACCTCCCTAACTCCAGATTCTGTAAAAGGCTAACTGATTTTAAAAGATAAATTTATCACCCAATCAGCAGCTGACATTAGGAGAAAACTCCCAACGTCTGCCTTAGGCCCAAAACAAAATTTGGAGACATTCTTAAACCTAGCAACCTAGTGTTCTATAACAGGGACCAAGAAGAACAGGCCAAAAGGGAAAAGCGAGATAAGAGTGCCGAGACCAGCTGGGTGATGGAGACCCTAACCCAGGGCGCTAGAGGAATTAAAGACACACACAGAAATATAGCATGTGGAGTGGGAAATCAGGGGTCTCACAGCCCTCAGAGCTGAGAGCCTCGAACAGAGATTTACCCACATATTTATGGACAGCAAGCCAGTGGTAAGCATCGTTTCTACAGGTTGTAGATTAACTAAAAGTATTCTTTACAGGAAATAAAGGCATGGGCTGAAATACAGAGATGGGTCTGGCTAGTTGTCTGCAGCAGGAACATGTCCTTCAGACACAGATCGCTCATGCTGTTGTTAGTGGTTCAGGAATGCCTTTAAGCGGTTTTCCGCACTGGGTAGGCCAAGTGTTCCTTGTCCTCATTCCAGTAAACCGACAACCTTCAGTGTGGGTGTCTTGGCCATCACGAGTGTGCCATAGGGCTGCAGAAATTTTATTTATGGCCAGTTTTGGGGCCAGTTTTTGGCCAGATTTGGGGGCCTGTTCCCAACAAAGAGAAAGCCTGAAGCCTTAGTCATGGCAGACCTTGGTGGCTCAGTTGTGACCAAAAGAAGAGCAGGCCAATTGCCTATGAGGACTTGTTATCAGTGCGGTTTGCAAGGACGTTTTAAGAAAGATTGTCCAACAAGAAACAAACCACCTCCTCACCCGTGTCTAATATGCCAAGGTAGTCACTGAATGGCACACTGCCCCAGAGGACAAAGGCCCTCTGGACCAGATGCACCCAACCAGATGATTCAGCAACAGGACTGAGAGTGTCCAGGGCAAGCACCAGCTCATGCCATCACCCTCATAGTGTCCCGGGTAAGTCTGCCCATTGAGGGCCAGAAAGTGGATTTCCTCCTGGACACTGGCACGGCATTCTCAGTTTTAATCTCCTGCCCCACATGACGGTCCTGAAAGTCTGTTACTATCCGAGGAATCTTAGGACAGCCAGTAACCAGGTATTTCTCTCACCTCCTCAGCTGCAATTACGAGACTTTGCTCTTTTCATATGACTTTCTTGTTATGCTCGAAAGTTCCACACACTTATTAAGGAGAGACATATTAGCCAAAGCTGGGGCTATTATCTACATAAATATGAGGAAAAATTACCGATTTGTTGTCCCCCTACTTAAAGAAAGAATCATCTCTGAAGTCTAGGCCTGAGAAGGACAATTTGGAAGAGCAAAAAATGCCCATCCAGTTCAAATCAGGTTAAAAGACCCCACCACTTTTCCTTATCAAAGGCAATATCCCTTAAGGTCTAAAGTTCATAAAGGATTACAGGATGTTGTTAGAGCTAGAGCAAAAAACTCATCTCCCATGACCCAACCTCTTGCCCATGGCCTTATTAAGAATTCAAAACTCCCCTTACAGAATGAGGCTCACTCCATGTGAAATGCTGTGTGGACATCCCTTTCTCACAAATGACCTCCTGCTCAATCAGGAAATGCCCAATTTAGTCAAAGACATAACATCTCTAGCAAAATATCAACAAAACCTTAATACTTTACCCAAAAAGTGTGACAAGGAAGAAGGAATAGAGTTGTTCAACCAGATCTAATATTAGTCAATTGGTCCCCTTTACCTCTCCATCTATGGATCCCTTATAGGAAGGACCATACTCAGTAATCCTCTCTATCCCCACTGCAGTTAAAGTGGCAGGGGTGGAATCCTGGATTCACCACACCCGAGTTAAACCTTGGACACCTCCTGAAGAACTTACAGGATCATCAACTCAAGAGACACAAGGTCAGCCAGACCAGCCTCAATACACCTGTCAACCACCAGAGGACCGGCATCTCCTATTTTGGAAGAAAACACCTCAGACTAAAAAGACTCCTTGCAGTTAATCCTGAAGAGAAATTTCTCCCTACCTAAAGGAGGATAAATAGAAAACCTGCATGATCTTTGACATCTCTCCTTGCTCTCTTTAATAGAATCCTTCTACTGTTTCGTTACATTATTAAGCAGTATACTAACTATATTATTTGCAGTAGGATTATATACTGTAGCTCCAGCCGGGACAAAGCACTCAATCACATCAACCTTTCTTCTATTGTCCTTCCTTCTAACGACAATTTACTCCTTTTTCCTTCCTCTTTCCTACAACTGTCCCACCTACAACATGTCATGACTCCTCTTAGGTTTCTGCCACCCTCTTCCTACTTATGTCCCTTTCTCCAACTACAACACACACCCCGTGTCACTGTGCCTCCCCTTGAGGAGTCAACTGGCTTCTCTCAGAAACTCGAAGAGATTAGGTAGCCCCTTCCGAGCATCTGCATCTTTTGCCGCGTATACTTACATGAGAAAAAAAGTTATAAAATTGCTTCTCTCTGCTCTCACAATAGCCATACATATCACCAAGGAAAAATGATCCGTGCTGACCACCCTGAGAAATCGGGGGCCAGTGCTTGTCAGACATATCATACCCATGTCGGTATGTCTGACAGAAGAGGCATCCAAGATGGTACTAAAGAATGGCATATCCAACACATGATTAAAAACTTAGTCCAGCTCTCCAGTACTCCCAGTCCATACAAGAAATTAGACCTTTCCAGGGTACAAGAAACCCTTAACTCTCATTCTCGTCTCTAGAGGCTGTTTAACACCACCCTTAGAGGAATAAAAGAGGCCTCTCCTAGGAACCCAATCAACTCTTAGATGTATCTCCCCTTGCATTTTCAACCATATGTCCCAGTCCCTGTCCCCAGACAGTAGAATTTATCCACCCCACTCCTAAACACACCCAAATTAATCAGTCCCCCAATGTACCAGCCACACAGGCCTCAAATCTCACATGCATAAACTTCAGCATGACTCTCAATAAGAACACCTTCCGATGTCAGTCCTGGATATCAGTAACCTCAGGTTTCACCTGTCTAACTTCAGGCATCATTTTCATTTGTGATAACACAGTCTATCAATGCCTAAATGGCACTCCAAAAGA